TGCACACAGGGGCATAAACACTGCACAGGAAGAATTCCATATGAGGTGAACACTTGCTACGTAAAAGAGGAATGAATTGTTCCATCTCCAGAGCAGCCTGAGCTTGAGAACTGTGACTCAATAAGTTTGGAATAATGGTGTGGTTGTAATTAACACCCTTACACAAAGGCACTGAAAGAGGCTCACATTTGGGTCCCGGAAGCTGGGTACTTGGATGAACTGTTGATGGTGATGGAGATGTAGAAGTGTCAACACTTTTACCAATATCACCTACACAAACGTTTTCTGGCGGAAATCTTTCACATTCAAATACTTCTGGCCAAGACGACCCAAGTTTTCTAATAGGGTCCTCACAATCCCTTCTCATGGTCAGACAAAGGTTTCTACAAGGAGGAAGAGGTTTCCCAAGGATTGTGCACACAGGGGCATACATGCTGCACAGGAAGAGTTCCAGATGAGGTGAACACTTGCTACGTAAAAGAGGAATGAACTGTTCCAGTTCTCGAGCAGCTTCAGCTTGAGAAGTGTGGCTCAATAAGTTTGGAAAAATTGTTTGGTTGTAACTCATACTCTTACACAAAGGTACTGAAAGAGGCTCACATTTAGGCCCTGGAAGAGAAGTACTTGGCAGATCTTTAGGTGGTGGTGTTTGGCTTGTTCCAACACTGCTGCTGGAAAGAGACAGTGCATTGCCATCCCAACATTCTGTACCGTCCGGGTACTTGCCACATTCTAGAGAGGCTGGCCACTGAAAGCCAAACTTGTTCATTAGACTTTCACAACCATCCCTTGCAGAAACACAAAGTTTTCGGCAGGGAGGAATTGGCCGTCCTAGTGCATTGCAAACCGGGGCATAAACACTGCATAAGAAGTTCTGTAGATCTGGTGAACACTGCACTTTGACGAGAGGAAAGAACTGGTGAACTTCAAGACCGGCTTCTTCCTGTGAATCGTGGTTGAGCAGGTTTGGAACAATCGTCATGTTATATGGCAGATCTTTGCATAAAGGTATACTTATAGCCTCACATTTGTCACTGATGACCATGCCTCCATTTTCCTCCTGATGACTTGGAACTGCTGTAGAAGTTTCAACACTTGTATCAACACCTACACATACGTTTTCTGATGGATATCTTTCACATTCAAATATGTCTGACGAAGACAGTCCTAGCCCTCTAATTGTGTCTGCACAATCCCTCCTCAAGGTCACACAAAGGTTTCTACAAGGTGGGATAGGTTTATCAAGGTTTGAACACACAGGGGCATACATGCTGCACAGGAAGAGTTCCAGATGAGGTGAACACTTGCTACGTAAAAGAGGAATGAACTGTTCCAGTTCTCGAGCAGCTTCAGCTTGAGAAGTGTGGCTCAATAAGTTTGGAAAAATTGTTTGGTTGTAACTCATACTCTTACACAAAGGTACTGAAAGAGGCTCACATTTAGAAGTACTTGGCAGATCTTTAGGTGGTGGTGTTTGGCTTGTTCCAACACTGCTGCTGGAAAGAGACAGTGCATTGCCATCCCAACATTCTGTACCATCAGGGTACTTGCCACATTCTAAAGATGTTGGCCACTGAAAGCCATATTGGTTCATTATATTTTCACAACCAGCCCTTGCAGAAACACAAAGTCTTTGGCAAGGAGGAATTGGCCGTCCTAGTGCGTTACAAACCGGGACATAAACACTGCATAAGAAAGTCTGAATATCTGGAGAACATTGTATTTCGATAAGAGGGGAGAATTGGTGAACTTCAAGACCGGCTTCTTCTTGTGAATCATGATTAAGCAAGTTTGGAAGGATTGTGAAATTATAGTTCAAGTTCTTGCACATTGGTATAGTAATTAGTTCACATTTATCCTCTGGAAACTGGGTGTCTGCTACATTCAGAGAAGTTTCTACTTCTGAGTGGCTAGCAGAATGCATTGCTGTCTCTCCATCCCAACAATTTGTCCCTTCTGGGAATCTGTTACATTTCAGGGATTCTGGCCACCGGAAACCAAACCTTTTCATCAGAGTTTTGCAGCCCCTTCTTGCAGATATACACAATCTTCGACATGGAGGAATTGGCTGTTCTAGTCCATTGCAAACCGGGGCATAAACACTGCATAAGAAGTTCTGTAGATCTGGAGAACACTGCACTTTGACGAGAGGAAAGAACTGGTGAACTTCAAGACTGGCTTCTTCTTGTGAATCGTGGTTGAGTAGGTTTGGAACAATCGTCATGTTATATGGCAGATTTTTACATAAAGGTATTCTTATAGCCTCACATTTGTCACTGATGACCATGCCTCCATTTTCCTCCTGATGACTTGGAACTGCTGTGGAAGTTTCAACACTTGTATCAACATCACCTACACATACGTTTTCTGATGGATATCTTTCACATTCAAATATGTCTGACGAAGACAGTCCTAGCCTTCTAATTGTGTCTGCACAATCCCTCCTCAAGGTCACACAAAGGTTTCTACAAGGTGGGATAGGTTTATCAAGGATTGTACACACAGGGGCATACATGCTGCACAGGAAGAGTTCCAGATGAGGTGAACACTTGCTACGTAAAAGAGGAATGAACTGTTCCAGTTCTCGAGCAGCCTCAGCTTGAGAAGTGTGGCTCAATAAGTTTGGAAAAATTGTTTGGTTGTAACTCATACTCTTACACAAAGGTACTGAAAGAGGCTCACATTTAGAAGTACTTGGCAGATCTTTAGGTGGTGGTGTTTGGCTTGTTCCAACACTGCTGCTAGAAAGAGACAGTGCATTGCCATCCCAACATTCTGTACCGTCCGGGTACTTGCCACATTCTAGAGAGGCTGGCCACTGAAAGCCAAACTTGTTCATTAGACTTTCACAACCATCCCTTGCAGAAACACAAAGTTTTCGGCAGGGAGGAATTGGCCGTCCTAGTGCATTGCAAACCGGGGCATAAACACTGCATAAGAAGTTCTGTAGATCTGGTGAACACTGCACTTTGACGAGAGGAAAGAACTGGTGAACTTCAAGACCGGCTTCTTCCTGTGAATCGTGGTTGAGCAGGTTTGGAACAATCGTCATGTTATATGGCAGATCTTTGCATAAAGGTATACTTATAGCCTCACATTTGTCACTGATGACCATGCCTCCATTTTCCTCCTGATGACTTGGAACTGCTGTAGAAGTTTCAACACTTGTATCAACACCTACACATACGTTTTCTGATGGATATCTTTCACATTCAAATATGTCTGACGAAGACAGTCCTAGCCCTCTAATTGTGTCTGCACAATCCTTCCTCAAGGTCACACAAAGGTTTCTACAAGGTGGGATAGGTTTATCAAGGTTTGAACACACAGGGGCATACATGCTGCACAGGAAGAGTTCCAGATGAGGTGAACACTTGCTACGTAAAAGAGGAATGAACTGTTCCAGTTCTCGAGCAGCTTCAGCTTGAGAAGTGTGGCTCAATAAGTTTGGAAAAATTGTTTGGTTGTAACTCATACTCTTACACAAAGGTACTGAAAGAGGCTCACATTTAGAAGTACTTGGCAGATCTTTAGGTGGTGGTGTTTGGCTTGTTCCAACACTGCTGCTGGAAAGAGACAGTGCATTGCCATCCCAACATTCTGTACCATCAGGGTACTTGCCACATTCTAAAGATGTTGGCCACTGAAAGCCATATTGGTTCATTATATTTTCACAACCAGCCCTTGCAGAAACACAAAGTCTTTGGCAAGGAGGAATTGGCCGTCCTAGTGCGTTACAAACCGGGACATAAACACTGCATAAGAAAGTCTGAATATCTGGAGAACATTGTATTTCGATAAGAGGGGAGAATTGGTGAACTTCAAGACCGGCTTCTTCTTGTGAATCATGATTAAGCAAGTTTGGAAGGATTGTGAAATTATAGTTCAAGTTCTTGCACATTGGTATAGTAATTAGTTCACATTTATCCTCTGGAAACTGGGTGTCTGCTACATTCAGAGAAGCTTCTACTTCTGAGTGGCTAGCAGAGTGCATTGCTGTCTCTCCATCCCAACAATTTGTCCCTTCTGGGAATCTGTTACATTTCAGGGATTCTGGCCACCGGAAACCAAACCTTTTCATCAGAGTTTTGCAGCCCCTTCTTGCAGATATACACAATCTTCGACATGGAGGAATTGGCTGTTCTAGTCCATTGCAAACCGGGGCATAAACACTGCATAAGAAGTTCTGTAGATCTGGAGAACACTGCACTTTGACGAGAGGAAAGAACTGGTGAACTTCAAGACTGGCTTCTTCTTGTGAATCGTGGTTGAGTAGGTTTGGAACAATCGTCATGTTATATGGCAGATTTTTACATAAAGGTATTCTTATAGCCTCACATTTATCACTGATGACCATGCCTCCATTTTCCTCCTGATGACTTGGAACTGCTGTGGAAGTTTCAACACTTGTATCAACATCACCTACACATACGTTTTCTGATGGATATCTTTCACATTCAAATATGTCTGACGAAGACAGTCCTAGCCTTCTAATTGTGTCTGCACAATCCTCCTCAAGGTCACACAAAGGTTTCTACAAGGTGGGATAGGTTTATCAAGGATTGTACACACAGGGGCATACATGCTGCACAGGAAGAGTTCCAGATGAGGTGAACACTTGCTACGTAAAAGAGGAATGAACTGTTCCAGTTCTCGAGCAGCTTCAGCTTGAGAAGTGTGGCTCAATAAGTTTGGAAAAATTGTTTGGTTGTAACTCATACTCTTACACAAAGGTACTGAAAGAGGCTCACATTTAGAAGTACTTGGCAGATCTTTAGGTGGTGGTGTTTGGCTTGTTCCAACACTGCTGCTGGAAAGAGACAGTGCATTGCCATCCCAACACTCTGTACCGTCCGGGTACTTGCCACAGTCTAGAGAGGCTGGCCACTGAAAGCCAAACTTGTTCATTAGACTTTCACAACCATCCCTTGCAGAAACACAAAGTTTTTGGCAGGGAGGAATTGGCCGTCCTAGTGCATTGCAAACCGGGGCATAAACACTGCATAAGAAGTTCTGTAGATCTGGAGAACACTGCACTTTGACGAGAGGAAAGAACTGGTGAACTTCAAGACCGGCTTCTTCCTGTGAATCGTGGTTGAGCAGGTTTGGAACAATCGTCATGTTATATGGCAGATCTTTGCATAAAGGTATACTTATAGCCTCACATTTGTCACTGATGACCATGCCTCCATTTTCCTCCTGATGACTTGGAACTGCTGTAGAAGTTTCAACACTTGTATCAACATCACCTACACATACGTTTTCTGATGGATATCTTTCACATTCAAATATGTCTGACGAAGACAGTCCTAGCCCTCTAATTGTGTCTGCACAATCCCTCCTCAAGGTCACACAAAGGTTTCTACAAGGTGGGATAGGTTTCTCAAGGATTGTACACACAGGGGCATACATGCTGCACAGGAAGAGTTCCAGATGAGGTGAACACTTGCTACGTAAAAGAGGAATGAACTGTTCCAGTTCTCGAGCAGCTTCAGCTTGAGAAGTGTGGCTCAATAAGTTTGGAAAAATTGTTTGGTTGTAACTCATACTCTTACACAAAGGTACTGAAAGAGGCTCACATTTAGAAGTACTTGGCAGATCTTTAGGTGGTGGTGTTTGGCTTGTTCCAACACTGCTGCTGGAAAGAGACAGTGCATTGCCATCCCAACATTCTGTACCATCAGGGTACTTGCCACATTCTAAAGATGTTGGCCACTGAAAACCATATTGGTTCATTATATTTTCACAACCAGCCCTTGCAGAAACACAAAGTCTTTGGCAGGGAAGAATTGGCCGTCCTAGAGCGTTACAAACCGGGACATAAACACTGCATAAGAAAGTCTGAATATCTGGAGAACATTGTATTTCGACAAGAGGGAAGAATTGGTGAACTTCAAGACCGGCTTCTTCTTGTGAATCGTGGTTGAGTAGGTTTGGAACAATCGTCATGTTATATGGCAGATTTTTACATAAAGGTATTCTTATAGCCTCACATTTGTCACTGATGACCATGCCTCCATTTTCCTCCTGATGACTTGGAACTGCTGTAGGAAGTTTCAACACTTGTATCAACATCACCTACACATACGTTTTCTGATGGATATCTTTCACATTCAAATATGTCTGACGAAGACAGTCCTAGCCTCTAATTGTGTCTGCACAATCCCTCCTCAAGGTCACACAAAGGTTTCTACAAGGTGGGATAGGTTTATCAAGGATTGTACACACAGGGGCATACATGCTGCACAGGAAGAGTTCCAGATGAGGTGAACACTTGCTACGTAAAAGAGGAATGAACTGTTCCAGTTCTCGAGCAGCTTCAGCTTGAGAAGTGTGGCTCAATAAGTTTGGAAAAATTGTTTGGTTGTAACTCATACTCTTACACAAAGGTACTGAAAGAGGCTCACATTTAGGCCCTGGAAGAGAAGTACTTGGCAGATCTTTAGGTGGTGGTGTTTGGCTTGTTCCAACACTGCTGCTGGAAAGAGACAGTGCATTGCCATCCCAACACTCTGTACCGTCCGGGTACTTGCCACATTCTAGAGAGGCTGGCCACTGAAAGCCAAACTTGTTCATTAGACTTTCACAACCATCCCTTGCAGAAACACAAAGTCTTTGGCAGGGAGGAAATGGCCGTCCTACTGCGTTACAAACCGGGACATAAACACTGCATAAGAAGCTTTGTAGATCTGGAGAACACAGCACTTTGACGAGAGGAAAGAACTGGTGAACTTCTAGACCGGCTTCTTCTTGTGTTGTATGATTGAACAGATTTGGGAGAATCGTTAAGTTGTAAGACAGTCCTTGGCATAAAGTAATATCGATTTGTTCACACTTGTAACTCAGCTTCTCTGTTGTATCCCGCGACTGGATCCCTCGATTTGCACCAGCATGCAAGCCAGACATATCGTTGCTTACATTTCCATTCCAGCATTCCTCGCCCTGGCCCTCCCTTGGGAACCTGTCACACCGAAGCGTCTGAGGCCACGAGAAGGAGCTGTTCCCGCCCCCCCGGCAGCGATCCCGTGCAGCAAGACAGAGACCTCGACACGGCAGCGCAGACGCAGGGCCAGCCCCCCCGCACTCCGGCACGTACATACCACAGAGGAACTTGCGAAGGTCGGGGGAGCAGTCGGATTCGAGTAAAGGGGAAAACCGGCTGTACATATCTTCTTCGGCTTCTGTCTGGGAGGCATGGTGAGGCAGTTCGACCGTCGTGGTCCTGTAAGACAGATTCTGGCACAAGGATACGACGATTGGCTCGCACCCTGGACGAGAGCTGCCCTCAACAAGGCCTCTCCTGAAGCGATAAAATGATTTCCGTGAGTCAGAGGCAAGTGCCAGCGGCAGAACCACCAAGGCCAGCAGCATGTGGACGCGCGCCATCACCGTCACTGGCTTTAAGCAGCAAAAAGCATCAGCACACTTGCTCTTCCGAGATCGGATTTTAACGCCCTCTCGCAAACACTTCGTTGAGCCTCACGCGCGTGTTCGGCAGAG